ATATATATATATATATATATATATATATATATATGAAAATCTATTAACTGTGGCAGAGGTATTGGAAATTATATGCAATGGAACAAATTTACCCTCCAGCTTTACTTGGGTTTGCCAGAACATTATTAAACGTTTGTGTCTACACCGCAATAGATTACAATTTTCCCAATTCTACCCTGCAAGAATTAAAATGTCAGAGTGGATAACTAACGCAATGAGAGGTAAAGAGACTTAAGTTTAAAACCTAGGGCTGGATACTCTATCAGCATATTATATTTTCAAACCATATTCTTATGAACAGCAGAATATCATGTACTTTGCATCTTTCTCAGCCTAGGCATATACTATCTATCCAGTCCAATTTATTTCAGTTAAATAAGTCATTAAATTCTCAGCACATAGGAAATACGTGTGATTTGTCTGTATTGAAGCTGAATTGAAGACTTGCTATTTGACTCTTGCTGTCACCTCCAGCCAAGTTACTGCCATAAAGAGAGAGCCAAGTTCATTCAGTATCTAGCGAAAGCATCAAATATTACAAACCTGTCATGGAATACAATGGCCGCCATGGCTGAACACTGCTTCTAAAAATACTAGTTGCCATGCTGCCATTAGTTGCTGATGCTTTGGCTTCAGTACATAGAATCAGTGATCTAGAAGTATGTAGATAAAGGCTTTGGGCTTTTCTCTGACCTTCTGAAAGTACTGAAGCCAGACACTGCCAGTCAGGAGGTCAGTAATGGCGGCCTCTATATTAGTGCCATGCATTACTTTAAAGTAACCCTGTCAAAAAATAAGTATTTTAATATTACTTTTCCCACTGTCCATGCCACCGTTCTCCTCTGTATTCATCAGATGTACTAATGTTAGAGGAATCTTCAGCTTCAGGTACACTCCTGGGTGTTTTAGATGATAATACAAAGAAATTGATATGTCAGTGGTACAACCCTTTTAAATGCATAGGTCTGTTTTACTCCTTTAGTGTTCTCCCAGATTGGAACACCTTTCATTGTACCTACAAGCTCATTTTTTTTACATATATGTGTCCTAATACCAGTTAATATTGAATTTAGACAGCCCTCTTTAAATCCAAAACCTTGCCACTCTAGCCTCGAGTCTTTGTGGCCTTGCTACAAATCAGGGTTTCCTCCCCTTCATGACAAGCTTTTGATCGCTTGTCATGCTTTATGTATTGAACTGCAGCCACATGGTTCACTGTTCCGATATTTGAAATAGCAAGTAGGCATACCAAATAAAGAGGCCATAAAAGATGGTTACATACGGAAATTGATCTAATTTACAAATTTCAATCCTGACAATTTTCAGTTCAAAATTCTTTTTTTATTCTAGTGACTTTAATTCTACCCGACCAAAAGAACTGCGGATAGGCATGCTTCTACTATAATTTAAAGGTCAGTTTTAACATGCAAATATGACTTTTGTATAGAAAGTAAAGCACTACATGATTTAAAAACAGCTCAAAAAAATAATACAATTACATGTTGTAAAACGAATGACCTGTGCTAGACACAGTCCTTTAGACATTGATTTTCTTTTATAATTTATTTCAGCATCCCCAATCCTAATGAAGGAAATGATGATGCATTATCTTGAACAATTTTCAAACCACTTCCATGGCTAAATGGACTGGAAATGTAGAAGTTCAAGCCTAGAGAAAATCAGAGGAGCACTGATTTCTGCAGTAAGTGGCGGAAAAGATAACTGCGCTTAGAGCCTGCAGGCAGGTGGATTGTGTCACTTCCCTGTGGGTGTGGGAGGTATTTAAGTATTGATCTGTCACCATATATCATTGTTGAGTTATACCATTTATAAGAAGGGAGAAATATGAAAGACTATACTGCATGCTGTGATTAGGATTTATTTAGCCAATTTCACCTTTATCTTTAAGTCCTCCAAGTAAGAGATAGGCTTCCTGGAGGTTCTGTTCTAACAAAAAAACTTAAGCACAAATATTTCCAATACATTTGAAGTTCTCCTTTACTGAATGTAATCTTACAAACCACAATGACCTTTATTTTAGAAGACAGTAAGCTTTGCTACTTCACGCAAGTAATGTTTTTACCCTTACAGGTTTTCAAATATTTATTTTGAGCTGGTTAAATAAAACAAGAATTTTAAAAATTTCAAATTTTAACTGCAAATAGTTTTTGTGATGCTGCCCCTTTAAAAGACAACTGTACCTTAAGTTCTTGTTTTATTTAATCAACTGAGAAGAAAACCTGTTAGGGTAAAAACATTATTTGTGAAAAGTAGCAATAATTACCTACCCCTAAGTGCAGCTGCATAGCCTACCTGGGCTGTACAGGCCTTCCTATGGCCTGTTTCCTACCCACCACAACACACTTCCACAATGCAGTATGCCATAATTTGCCTTAACACACAAGGGTGCGAGCATTGTGTTTTGTGTATTACTATGTATATTAATGTGTGTGTTACTATGTGTTAGTTTGTGAATAGCATGTGTGTGTTATTGTGTGTGTTTCTATGCACAACAGTATGTGTTACTGTGGGGCTGATTCATAGAAGTTGGCCGTTCACATTTCACTAGCGCCACTAGATGGCACTGAGGAGCATAGAATTTCCTATGGATTTCCGCAGCGCCAGCTAGGTGCGCTAGTGCCATGCGAATGACCTCCGCCCAGCAATTATAAATAAGCCCTATGTGTTAGTGTGTGTTTTTATGTGTGTGTGTTACTATACTATACATGTTAGTGTGTGTGTGTTACTACAGTATGTGTGTTGGTGTGTGTGTGTTATTTTGTGTGTTAGTGTGGGTTACTATTTTTGCATGTGGTAGTGTCTGTGTTACATGGGTGATTCCTGTGTGACAGGGTGGCACCCATCTTCTTTTTTTCTGGCACGCCATAAGGCCAGACCCCTACAGTCCCTATGCATAAGTTGGGCGCTGAACAGCTCGGGCATCTTTGAGCCTGAGAGCAGCTTGTCTCTCCCTTGGGCATTTGATTGACAGGCCAGGGGGGACCAAAATGTGATTGGCTGACTTAGCCCCAGCCATGGTTCTGCAAAGGGAGATTAGGGTACTGTGAGTTCAGCTGATGGAGAATCCAGAGAGAGCAGATTGAGGGCAGTGTAAAGTTGATGGTACGATAATCGGCAGGTGTATGGGCAGCGTGCGACCTCTTCTACTGTAAGGTCGCACGACATTCGTCTTCCAAGCACGCTTGAAAACCTGCCGAAAATTGTACGATTTTCGGCGGGTTAGTGGCGTGCTCGGGAGACGAATGCCGCACGGGGCGGTGTGCGCAAGCTCACACTGCCCGCTCACACTGCAATCACCGCAAGCCCTCCCCTCAGCGGGGAGGGCTTGCGATGATCGCAAGTACGATCTGCCTGTCCAAGATAGGCAGGTCGTACGAAATTTTAATGACTTTACAAGCATCGCACAACGGAAGTTGTGCGATGGTTGTGAGGTGTATGGCCAGCATTAGGGGAGCAGGAAGCAAATCTCACCATATGGGGGCCCTTTTAAATATTTGCCCAGGGATGATCTCTTAAAACATAAACTTTCCTAAATGCTAAAACCCCGGTTTGACAAATGACATATCTTTTCACATTTATTTGCTAGCAGTAGTAGAGCTTTCTGTTAGCCATCAATGAAAATTGGAGTTAAAATTATACCATTTATTGGCTAGCTCAATAGATTGCAGATGCAAGCATTTGTAACATGATCATGTCTGATGAAGAATCCAACATGTTTCAAAAGCATGCATTTTCAATTTATTGAATTACCCAGTAAAAGGATTCCCTTTAATTCCAAAACATACTGTTTTCATTTGCTAGCATCAGATGCAGAATCATTAGAGGAGATAAACCTATTTATAAAAACTGGAGAAAATAAAACAGGAACATTCTATGGATGTCAATGGGTCGGTGACCATTGCATAAGCTACTTTTTCAGACTGATTGGTGTGCACTCTACATATTCATTGCATGCTGGGGAGATTTGTCGTCTGTTTGCCCTGGTGTCCATTGTCAAAGTGACACAAACAGGGCTATTCACAAAAGGGTGAAGGGTTTGGAGAAGGCAGGAGAAGTGAACAATCCAGGACAACATAGCTGAACTGGAAAGTGAGCTGAATTGGAGAATTTTTCCAAATCAGCTATTTTGTCCTAGATTGTTCACTTTGCCT